ATCAAGCTGATGGAGGATCGGCTTAGGGCATTCAAGAGTGACATGACATCTGGCCAGACAGGGACACACACACACACAAACTCTCCTACAAGGACTTCAGGGGGTATGGTGCACCAGACTTCCACAGGGTGAAAGACGCTATTGTTTCTAGGAGGTGGATCGCAGACATGGAGTCTACTCAGTTGATGAGCTTCTGCCCTGAGGGGTCGAAGGTCCGGTATGCAGCTGGATGTTTGAGAGACAGAGCTAGAGATTAATGGGAGTCAGTTGGTGATTCTTTGAGAGCCTTAGCCATTGAGGCTATGACTTGGTCTAATTTTGTGGCCCGGTTTAGGGCTTAGTTCGTGTCGACTGTGGAGCATTAACAGCTGGCCTGGGAGTTCCTTGACATGAGGCAGACGACTGAGACGGTGGCGGAGATTACCGCCACGTTTTGGGAGAGGGCCTTATTGGTAACTCAATATGCGAGGGACGAGGAGACGTGTAAGACCCGCTATCATGATATATTGAGAGCTGACATTCGGAAACATGTCAGCTACTTAGCATGCCCGACATTTGATGACATGATAGCCAGGACGAGGGAGAGAGAGATTGACATAGAGAACCTCTGGAAGAGGAAGGTGGAGGTTGAGTAGGGTACTGGGGTTTTAGAAAAGAAACCCAAGGGAGTCGACTCTAGGTTGAAGGGCCAGCAGGGTCAGAGCCGCTTTGGGAAATACGACAGGTCGCATGATGGAGTGTGCGGGACCGGGGGATCGAGCTGATACAAGTGCGGCAAGACCGGGAACTTTGGCATGGATTGTAGTTCTCCCACTCCCACCCTCCAAACATTAGACCTGATTTGCTTTCATTGCAATCAGAAGGGCCACAAGAAGACCAACTTCCCTCAATTGTTATCAGCAACGCCAATGGCGGTGCCAACTCCAGTGACCCTGCGGATTATGGATGGCCGTCAGGGCAAGACAGATACTCCAGTGGTGAAGAGTCGAGCCTTCCAGTTGACAGCTGAGGAGGCGTGTGCTGCACCTGATGTGGTGATGAGTATGTTTTATTTTCCCTAGCTCTTATTTTATGTCATTTATGATATTTACGTATATGTTTTATGTGTTGTTTAGGATCGTTCCATGTGAACGGTATTCAAGTTCAGGTGTTGTTCGATTCAGGGGCTACTAGATCATATGTCTCTTTTACCCTTAGCAAGAGTTTCTTGATTCCTCGGGCATGTTGGATTTCCCTCTAGAGGTTGAGATTGCTGACGACTGATCAGTACGAGCATCAAAGGTTTTTAGAGATTATGTTCTGAGGCTATATGAGGAGCACTACCTGGTAGACTTGGTTTCCCTTCCGTTGCGTGGGAACAAGGTCATCATGGGCATGGACTGGTTGATCCCTAATGGGGTAGTGATCGACTACGCGTAACAGTTGTTATGGGTCAAGACCCAAGCGAGGGAGAGCTGGTGTTTCAAGGCGAGAGGCAACAACGTGGACCAGCTGTATGCTCAGCAGCGAGGGCTAGGCACTACCTTCAGCAAGGTTGTGCATGGTATGTTTCCTATGTTATGGATATCTGGGAGGAAAGTAAGGTGACAGTGAGTGATGTGCCAGTGGTGCGAGATTACGCAAATGTATTCTCAGAGGAGCTACCTGGGATACCCCCAAAGAGACAGGTAGAGTTCAGGATCGACCTGGTCCATAGTGTGGCTCTGATAGCCAAGGCACCATATCAGTTGGCTCCTCCTAAGATGCAGGCATTATCTACACAGCTGCATGAGCTGTTAGACAAGGGATTCATTAGGCCGAGCAGTTCACCCTGAGGAGCCCCGATTGTGTTTCTGAAGAAGAAGGATGGGTCGCATCGGATATGTACAGATTACTGGGAGCTGAACAAGGTAATAGTGAAGAACTGTTACCCATTCCCGAGGATTGATGATCTGTTCGACCAGCTACAGGGGGCGTCTTGGTTTTCCAAGATGGATTTGCGTTTCGACTACCATTAAATGAGGATCAGAGACAAGGATGTACAAAAGACTGTGTTTCAGACTCGCTATGGCCACTACGAGTTCGTGGTGATGCCCTTCATGCTCACCAATGCTGATGATGGTTCATGGACCTCATGAACCGCGTATACAAACCGATGTTGGATTAGTCTGTGATAGTTTTCATTGATGACATCTTGGATTATTCCAAGACACAAGAGCAGCATGTGGAGCACTTGCGAGAGGTTTTCGATACCCTGTGGAGGGAGACCTTTTAAGGAAACTTCTCGATGTGCGAGTTCTGGTTACGCGAGGTGCAGTTTCTTGGGCACCTTGCATCCAGCACGGTATTCTGGTTGACCCATCCAAAGTAGAGGTCGTGATGAGATGGGAGGTTCTGAAGTCTCCATCTAAGATTCAGAGTTTCTTGGGATTGGTAGGTTATTATCGGAGATTCATTCAGGACTTCTCCAAGATAGCCATACCCTTGATGTGTTCGACGAAGAAAGTCATGGTCTTTCATGGGGGCCTGAGCAGCAAGCAGCGTTTGAGACATTCAGACAAACACTATGCAAGGTGTCGATCCTCGCCCTGTCAGAGCGCGTGGAGGATTATGTGGTATACTATGATGTGTCCATCTTAGGTTTGGGCATGGTATTTGTTGGATTAGTGTCCAAGTCCATAACTATTTTGGTGTGTACTTGACCCAATGGTGCATGGTCCTTTTAGGTTGCCTTCACCAAAGCAACTTGATAGAATGAATTATGGAGAGAGAGAGAGAGAGAGGATTAATTATGATTTATTAATATATTATGAGAATAATATATTAAAGGAGAAATCATATTGTTTAATTAATATTAGTCAATAACTAATTTAGAATTAATTTTGTGGCTAAAAGACATTAATTAAACTTAAGGGACTAGAACTGTCAATTGTATGATAGTTGAATATTGGGCTAATTGACTCCATATTAGAGGGGTGGACGAATTCTATGGGGAAACCCATTAGAAATCTTCCTAGGCCTCTAAGGAGGGAGTCCATGAGTTGCTTAGGGCCAAAGCAGGCAAATTAGGGTTTCCTTGTTAGATAACCCTAATAGCCTCACTATTTAAGGATCCCTAGAGCACCAAAAATGTGGCTAAGAGTTTCCTTAGCGTTTACACACATTTTTGGGTGCCTCCTCTCTTCTTCTTCTTCATCCTCTTTCTCTTGGTGTTTGTGAGCCATTAGGGTTTTCATGAGCATATATGATGTTCTTATCGCTAAAACCCATAAGTGGTGTCAGAACCTTGATTGGTTTCTATTGTATTGATGCGTTGATTATTTGTTCAATCTTTGAAAATCGTTTTTTTGTGCCCCTGACTGATGAACCCGACGAGTTCCATAGTGGACTCGACGAGTAGCTTCAACTCGGCGAGTTCAAGCATCAGTTAGAGCTGATTTCGAGATTTCTTGTTGTTTTGCTTGAGGATACTTGCCTTCTTGCTTTAGGTCATTAATATCCGAATTTTATCATATATTTGAGTATATCATTGACCAAACAAAAGAAAATTATCATTTGATTGAATGATAATTTCCTTATATGATAATAATTGATTATTTGAATTAAATTGGTAAATTGTCTTTCAAGTAATATTGACTAGGTCAAATTTAGATAATCATTAAATTAATTGTTTAATTTGAATTATTTGCTATTTGATCCTTTGTGTTTTTAAAAGCTTCAAAACTTACCCTCAAGTTTTGGAATTTAAAATTTTGATTAAAAGCTTTGATTTGAAATATTTAAATTCTAAACCCTAATGATTTGAAATGTTTCAAAATTTGCCCTCTAGTTTTGGAATTTAGATTTTAATTTAAAAGTTTTATTTTTAAAAGATGTTAAATTCTAAAACCCTAAGTTTTGAAAAAGTTCAAATTGCACCCTTATGGTTTTATTAAATTAATTAAGTGTATAAGTAAAAGAGAGTTAATAAGTTCATAGTGATATGGTTTACATTTAATTAAATTAAAAGTATAATTTATTAAATTAGACCACCTAGTATTTTAAAAGTGTAAAATACACCCTTATACTATATATAACATTAAAAGTCTAATATTATATATGTATAACTTAAACTGCTAGTCTTACCATTAGTAGGCCTCATTCACGAAGCTGGTCTATAAGGGGTGTTTAAAGAAATTGCCTATAAAATGACGATTGAATGGGTATCCACTCTTACCCACCGCACTCTTGACTAGTGGAGGGTCGTTAGCCGAATGGGTAAGATAGGGCAAACCCTTTCCATTAAAAGTATAATCAAGTATAAAGTAACTAAATGTTTTATACAAAATTCCCAATCTTAGTTACTTTAGGAAAAAGTGAACTGATGCAATTCTATTAAATTACACTTTGTGCCCTTGCAAAGACGTTAGTGGAGCGTGTGTGGTTAACGGGCACACTAAATGGTTCCAAGCAAAGGTGGTAAAGGGTGACTCAATGTTTGTCATACTTCGGGGGAGCGTGTGTGGTTAACCTATACATCGAATAGGTGACTGTAACATTGGGGGCACCATGTAAGTTTGCATGGTTATTCACACCTTGTTTTGTGATCTTCGGCATCGCAGTCACAAATCGAGGGGTATATCAAGATTTAAACATGCCATTGAAAAGTTCAATGAATCTCAAGGGATCTAGGAGTTTTTCAATACATTTAAAATGTAATATCCTTTTCGTTTTTCATGGTGGAAAATTAGTGAATCGACATTCACTTACCTTCAAATGTTCTGCAATTTGGGTTACGACATCCCTATCCCAAGTTGTAGAGTATTGAGTTGGGTCTTAGCCTTAATATCTCATTTGGGTGATTTATTAAGGACTCAATTAATCAACTAACTTGAATTTTTTCCCGTTTTGTAGATGTCAAAGTATGACAACTATGGTTTTCCCAAATCCCGTGGAACAAGCTTTCCACATGAAGATGATATTCCACGATTCGATCAAGGAACACGAGATCAT